GTAAGTACTGGTACTACTGATATGGAGAGCTGTAGTGAGAGCCGACTAGCAGCAATTATAGGAACAAAAAAACTATTGTAAAGAGCTTATTACTACAGTAAGTTTTAAATGCTGAGAAACTAACAACAGTAAGTGATATGCTTATATACATACATACATACATAAAATAAATTAATACATAAAATAAAGGGGTAAAAATAAATTAATACACAAAAAGCTATGAAACTAGGTACCAAAATATTTAACAATGATAGCTGAAATGTGCTTGTGTTGCGAAAATATCACAAGACCAGCGAAAATAACAGAGCGCTGTTATCCGAATTGCACATAATACAATAATTAAGTTACTTTACATATACGTACACAGAATACACTTCAAGTTATGTAAGAAACCAAAAGCAAATAGACACACAATAATGAATGATGATTACACTAGTTATATGTTGGTAGTAACTATCATAAAGTTAAATTGAAAAAGAAAATTGTGCAATATTAGTTGCAACAACAAAATACCTATGGCATGCACTATGCTTAAAAAAAAAAAAAAAAAAAAAAAAAAAGAAAGAAAGAAAAAAAAAAAAAAACAGAGATCGTAAAACAAGAATTGAATTAAAAAATATAAAAAAGGGAAATAATAATAATAATAATAATAACTAAATAAATAAACACTCCAAAGATTAACAGTAAATGTGCTACAGGAAAAGTGCTTATTGATGAGGCAAAAAACTGTATTCAGAAAATAGCCATGACGTGCTACATTAAAAAAAAAAAAAAAAAAAAAAAAAAAAAAAACAGTTCTAAGTTCTGTAATAAACAGTAGCACGTGGGAAGTTGTACTAGCGCAATCCCTAAAGCATTGACTTTACTCTGAGATGACCTTTGAAGGTTAGGTTGTTATTGTTGCGGGGGGGGGCGGTTGATCAAGTGAATTTACTCTGCGCCGTTTCTTCCTCAAGGACGAAAAAGGAAGTCAGCTGGGGAAAAATTAAATGCAGATGCGTCAAAGCGTAGGTTTTAATCCTAGTATCCGGTGCACAAGGGATTTGGCGACTTTATGATGAGTAGTAAACGGGACATATACGATGAAAACGGGTTATTTTCGTGTTGGCGATAATTTTCAAAATCGCACCAAGGATGCACCGTATACTAGGATTTTACCAAGCGCAGAAATCAGTTAATGAAATTATAACTATTGTAGCCAAAAATTTAAGATGCACATCAAAATGTAGATAATAGAGTGGCCTACCTTTTTACTGTTATAAGCTGCAACACTCCCAGTAGTGCAACACACGCATATATATATATATATATATATATATGCGTGTTTGTGTGTGTAATACATCAAAGAGGTTTACAGTGTAGACAGACTAATGGAACTTGGAGACAAATGTAGCTGTAAATTCACACAATTTGTTTATGGACAATTTCATTCTTGACACTCATATTCTGATTCACATATCATCATTGAATCAATCCACACAGAAAAAATTTGGACATTTCTGCATCTTCACACAATGGATGATAAAAAGAAATGAGCCGCTGAATGTTAATCGGAAATAAGCAGGTAAGTTGCTTGTTTCAGAATCTTCAGAAGAAAGCCTGGGAGAACATCAAAAGGTTTTGGTTCTAAAAAAAATTTGATTTCAACTGAAATCTTATTCACTGATTAGATAAAACGTACCTGCATTGCATCATTATGCAATATCATATGATATGGATTAATTTGAAATGATACAGTTTTAAACTAATATATTATTAAGTTACAATTTTTAGGACAGAAAGGAGAAATACCCAAATTAAAATGAAAAATAAGATGCACTATTGCCAATTAAAATCAGAAATTTGCTTTACATATTTTTATCTTACATATATATGGGGCAGTTCTATTATTTCCTGCTCTATTTGGCCAAGCTACAAAATTCAAATGTCTCCAAAGTGTGACTTAGGCTATGTATAAGATTTATACAAAGCACTATTTTCACATACATATTTAAAAATAAAATCAGACCTTTTTGTACAGTGGCAAGCTTGATTTTTTCCAAAGTCCAGTCTCACACATCAAATTATGCCAAAGTTCCAAGCTTGATAAAAACTGCACCAGCAGTTTTCTAAAATTAGCATGAATAGCATGAGCAATTCTTTAAGCTTTAACTTCACTGTGTTAATTGAATTTCTTATACATTATTTAATAATTTTGTATTTGAACTTTGCTTGATTTCTTCTTTTATAATCTGAAATTTAGTTTAAATAAAAAAATACTGTTTTTAATTTTAAAAATTTAATTTTTATAAATTTTTCAAGGAAATGTTGAACATAATCTATAAAAATTTATGCACCATATAAAAGTAAATATATTTTAAGCATGTTTCAAAAAATTAAAATTTTTATTTAAAAATTTCAGATATGTGTTTTAACAATGATTTCAAACTCAACATAAGATTTAGAAAGCAATAAAGATGTCAAATCTTAAGTGCCATTTCATTTTGCTCTGATGAGGCTGTTTTCACTTACATTTATTTTTCTTTCTATCTTTCCAGTCAACGAAATTTAACAAAATGAACTTAATCAGAGCAAAATATTTAATTTTTAAAATATCAGCTTAACAATTTCTATGAAACTGTAACTGTAATAAATTTTTAAGAACATTATTTAAGAGAAAATGATATCTGATTAGATATGGAAATATAAATTTTATTTGCTTTTAATAAGATAATGTCTGCAGTTACTTTAAATGAGCATTGCTCTGATTTTATCTAAATGCATTTAAATTTTGCTTTTAAGTAGTATTACTGTATTTGACGGCGATGCACTGGCATATAAGACGTACCCTTATTTAGACGGCCACACACAAGGAAAAAAGGTTTCAATAGTGTGGTTTCTTTTTAGTTCTCACATTTCATAAAAGCCAAATAAACAATTATTGAATGCAATTACCTTCACGTATAAAGACGCAGGTAACTTTTTTGATACCAAATTTAGGAAAGAAAGTGCATCTTATATGCCGTCAAATACGGTAACTAATATAATATTATTAACTAAAAAGGTAAAAAGAGATTTTATTACACTTCTTTTCCAATTTTTTTTAGATCTCCGTTATTATTTCATACAGTAATTTTTGGATCCAAAATTAGAAGAAAAAAAAAAAAAAAAGTTTAAAGTTTCATTGAAAATTTTGCCTTTTACTGCTAGTAAAAATTCACATGGAAATGATATGATCGATTCCCACAAACCAATAAATTAAATAATAAATTTTGAAGATTTAACAGAACTATTTGGATGTAACCAAACTATTTTATCGAATGCCATCTAGTGGCAACAAAAACGACATAGTCAGTCGACTTCCAGGTACAACAAAGAAAGGTTCTTCATTATGATGCATTTGTAATTCTAGCGTTAATTTTAAATATTACTTCTATATATTGGGGTTTTCAGTTTATTGTTTTGCGTTCTATGGGTTCGCGGATTTGGAGTGATTGTTTAGAACACTTGACGAAGAATCAAAACAAAATTTGCAAGTATTTCACAGGAAATTTACAAAGACATGTTTATAATCATTGAAAAACTACGATAAGCATGCTGAAACAATCGGCAGCACAGCCTTCCAACTATCAGGCTATAAGAGTGAAGACAGCTTCTCAGCAAAACACTAAATACAGCTCCCGACTCGGCCGATCGCTCTCAGAGCTCAGCACACGATACTCTTCACAATAAAACTTAAGCTGCTACTCTGCACACAGGCAGGGTTTACATAGCTTTTGACCTGCCTTCGAGAACATTCTGGGATAAACCAATAAGAATTCGTTCCAGAATATTCTCGCTCCGTCAATGGTATATCACCATATTTGTCGCCAAATGGGTGATTTCGCGCTAAACATGGCAACCCTGCCTTTTCTTGCCATTTTCTGACATCCCTAAACTGGCTTTGCAAGGAAGCTATCTTACCACAGCTGGGAATTTTGCAACAGTATGTTATATTCCCAATGTACATTTCCTTTGTAACTGTCCCTGTGCTCTATTCATAAGTACTTTTAGAGCTAGCCGGTGTTTGTGTTTATAGAACAACAGTTACAAAATATTTTTCAAATACTTATATACTAGAAATATTAATAGTTTTATTTTAAAATAAAATGCACCTAATACTTTCTGTAAAAATAATGAAGACATTAAGACATAAATACTTGTTTTTTGAAAGTTAATATGCTTACTCAAATAAAAGAGGAGTTGGACACAGTCTTCGGGGACTCTGCACCATCATTTACTGCTGTAAAATTCTCGACAGCTGAATTTAAACGCGGCCGTACCAGCCGGGAGGACAATGAACGTTCAGGATGACCAAAAACTGCAAGCACTGATGAAAACATCGCTAAAATATACCAAATGGTGCTGGACGACCATTGAATCAAGGTTAGAGAGATAGAGAGAGAGTAGAAGCTATGAGCATTTCCAAAAAATGTATTTACCATATACTGAACCAAGATTTAGATATGCACAAGCTGGCTGCACATTGGGTGCCATGTTTGATCACTTTGAACCAAAAACATGCCCGAATGAATATTTGCATCATTCCGTTGCCGCAATTCAGGTGAAATAAATCAGAGTTTTTTTTTTTTTTTTTTACTATTAATCACTGTAGATGAAACTGATTCATCATTACAGCCCAGAAACAAAATCACAGTCAAAACAGTGGACATTATTATTTTTTTATTTAACAGTAAAATTCTTTTCATTAGGAAAAAAGAAATACAAAAGTATGATACAAAAGTATGATGTTTGCAAACAATGCCCAAAATTCTTATAGAACATTATAACAAAACTTCTGCATAAGTTACTTTATTCTACTAGGCAGTCAAAATTAAATTTTACAAATTTAATAATGTAATAAAATATATTTTTTATTGTTATTGTTTCTTTATTCAAAACTCTACTATTCCAGATTGTTTGGGTGTGAACTTCATGTGAGCAAAATAGAATATGCAACAATTTTATATACTAGCAGGCTGCAGCCAAAGCAAAATTTATAAGTTCTATGTACCCCTTGGAAAGGAAATGTATGAAAACATTTCAATATGAAAGAAATGAGTTCATTCTTTCCAAGCAACACCCAATTTGTAAATAATTTTTTTATTGCCGAACCAGGATAAAAAAACTTTTGACACTTCAAGTTAATATGCAAGATGTCATGATTTAAATTTGCATTAACAATTTTTTCAATATTAATTAAAGAATTAATGTGGCAATAATATATCATGTCAATTATACTAACCTGAAACAAAAAAGTTGCTAACAGCAGTAGTTTATGTTAAATGCTGACATTAACAAACAATTTTCGGCATACAGTGACATCACATGCAATTGCGTGCTTTCTTTAATGTCAGAATATGACCTTATATAATATTTAATGTTTGGCAATGCTATTTTTATTTCATAAACTGTAAAACTTAAACACTTTTGATTAACAGACTCTACGATTTGAAAGCGACCAGTGGTAACACAATTCTCAAAATAAAGCAGGTTTTTATCTTCAGCATGCAAGACTGTTGCCACTTGGAAAAAGGAGGGATAAAATTAGTGTTTTCAGAGTTTTTAATTAATATCTCCATTAATTAAAGCCATACAAAGATGAGAATGGTTGAAATGGCTTACCATGAATTTTTGCAATACACGGTACCTCTCTCGAAATTCAACTCCCTGCTATATTCCGAAGGAGATAATGCCACCAACAGACAGACGTGCCGAGATTTCAATAGTATAGATTCTGCTGCTTAGGTTGTAAAGACATTAGGATTTTTTTGGAAGCCAGAGAGATGAAAAATTAGCAACTGCCTTTGCCGGGAATCGAACCGCGGACCTCTGGAAAACTGGTCCAGCGTGCAGAACCACTACACCACAAAGGACGCTTGGAAAGTGGGAGAAATACCTTATATACTCCCCTTTTTAAAGGGCGACTAGGGTTTTAGGGGATCTAGTCACCAAATCCTGGGAGCGGAGAATCATCATCCACAACCCTTTTAGTTTGGGCGCCACTGTATGGACATTATTATTATTATTTATTTATTTTATTTTATTTTATTTTATTTTATTTTTGAAGCCAGAGAGATGAAAAATTAGCAACCGCCTTCGCCAGGAATCGAAACACGGAGCTCTGGAATACCGGCCCAGAGTGCAGAACCACTACACCACAAAGGACGCTAGGAAAGTGGGAGAAATACCTTATAAGGTCGTTAAAATCTTGAAGACCAATGCATTTTGTTTCAAATTTAATCTCTGTGGTATGTTTTGTAGCATAGACAAAACATTAAAAATTGTTTTCAACAAAAATTTATTTATAGCATACAGCCCATGAGTTGTTCTTATATGGTATTTAGTGAAATGCTAGTTATGTGAATGCAACTTTTAAAACTGATATAACAATCTTGCTATGTGTCTTACTTTTATGTCATAATCTATCTTTTTGATAGATAGTCTGACTTTCTCACATGGCAAATCAAGAAAAATAGAACATACAACAGCATGTTTTATCATACTTTCATTTTCCACAGTCATATGAAAGCTTTCTTATTTACTTGCTGCTACGAGTATATCTACTGTGACATTATAAGTCACAATAAATACATAATAGTTTAATAAATACTTTCAAGCTATTCATAAAAAAGTGCAAATAGACTGATATTCCCTTTTCCAGCCTTGAACATGTGCATCGATGTAGCAATCAAAATCAGTGAAAACCCTTTGGAAAACAAAGAATTACTCACTTAAGATTCTCAGTTTGATAGGCCCTAAAAGATCTTATAAATCTCTGCAATCCTGCTTTCTCCTTATAAAAACAAGAAAAGTGAGCATGAGAGACAACTGAAAAAACACTATATCTGGGGGCATGTTTGTAAGGTGATTCTCTACACATCTGTTAGTTATATGAAATGACATACATCAGAAAAAAAAAAAAAAAAAATGTGATACTCTGTTTCAGATTATGAGAAGTTGAAGGTACAATAATGGAGCAAATATGAAAGGGGAAAAATCAAATTAAAAAAGTTTCCACTGAAATATAAATTCAGATATTTTCATTCCATGGGCTGTTAATATAAATATTAAATTAAATATGAATGAAATTTAATATGAAAATATAAATATTAAATTTGTTCTACAATTTACTGAAAGATTTAAATACTTTCACAAAACAAACTTAAACTACAAGTAAATGTCAGAAATTCTACAGAAGGAAAAATCATATTAACAGAAGCACATAGATGAATAAACAGAAATTAATTCTGGCATTGAAATTCAATGAAAACAAACGACACCACACTTTTAACACAAACATATAGCTGCCGACTGGGAGGTTTTCGTGCTTCATAGCAATGCCATTCCATAAGCACCCCAGATTGACTTAAATTCACTTTATAATGCATGTTACTGAACTATTTATAACATGATTCTGACATAAAATATGTTAATATTTAATTAAATTTAAACAAATTTAAATGCATTTTTAAAAAAATTGTTTGGTTTAATTTTAATTTGCTAAATTAGTGAATTTATTTTCATGGATTGGTTTTGCACTTGATTTGCTTATGCTTCTGAATTTAAATGATATTGTAGATTAGTTCGAGAATTAAATCTTTTATTTTGGCTTATTTTGGCTTTTTTTCTTTATTTTGGCTTTAAATTTGCTGTTTACTTTTATACGCGTTCGTTAAAATTAAAATTAAAATTTTTTTAAATTTAAATTTCATTCCTTGCAGCAATGGCGCAAAGAATATTTAACTATATTTAACTAAATTTGTATTTAAATTAAATTAATTTAATTAAATTCAATTTATTCATATGAAACATTAATATTTAATTACATATTCTAAATTTTACATTCTTTGGCTAGTAATCTGTTAGAAACAAGTAATCATTTAGAAAAAATTGTTACCATTTCAAAAATCTATAGTAATGGAAAACATGTAGGTGTATCGAAATCTATGATATGATATGGGATCAATGAGTTAGCTACAGCAATGATATAACAAAATGTATAGCAGAGGTTAAACCTGCTTCCATTTTTTTAGTTGATATTATAAAGTAAAACTTATGATATTACCCAGTTAATAGTACAGTGGTACCTCGACATACGAGTTTAATTCATTCCGTAACCTTGCTCGTATGTCAAATTGCTCGTATCTCAAAGCAATTTTCCCCATTGAAATTAATTGAAATGACATTAATCCGTTCCAGCTCCCAAAACACCACCTCAGTTGTTTTGTATGTGTGTGTGTTTGAATATTAAAGTGTTTTGAATATTAAAAATGTATTTACAAGAAGAAACATTTATTTATAAATAACAAATACACACTCTATAAAAGAATAATTAAAAGAAAATGTCAAGTGCTTACGGAAGCGCTTAATTTTAGTCACTGGTCTTCGCTCATTTTCACCTGCAGATCGTTTAAAAAACTGTCCAAAGAGTTTGTTTCTCCCTCCCTTTCAGGATATTGCGGAAATGACTTAGGCAAGTTTCGTTGAACAACTCCGATGCAGGACTAGTTGCAACTTTTTCGGCGGTGATTTTTATCCACGAACTCTACAACTTTCTCCCACATTCCCAAGATCTCCTTTATATCTCTTGTAGGGATAACCTCCTCCATCTCTGGCTCCCATTCAAAACTAATTTTTTGTTGAACCACCATATGCTGCTGCGAATGTGGATCGTGTAACTCCTCGGTGGTTAGCTCCTGAGACTGTTCCTCGACAAGTTCGTTCACATCTCTCTCATCCACCTCCAGACCCATGGGTTTTCCAAGAGAAACAAGTCTAGTCTGAGGTGGGAGAAACTGTTAGATGCTGCACACGGCACCAACATGCGCGCACACCTTGTGGTCGTATGCAGCGGTTTAGTGTGCAATCTCAAATCTTCCTTTCATCTCAAAGCAAAATATCGCTCGCTCGGTGGCTCATATCTCAAAGCACTCGTATATTAGGACACTCTTATATCGAGGTACTACTGTACTTAATAATTTAATATTTTATAATTTATCGATTCTGTGTAAGGTATGTCTGGCTTTACATGTTGATTAATATTCATTTTGAAAAGCAGTGAATAATTATTTTGGAAAAGAAAATTCATAATCAAAAGTCAGTTTACATGTATAATCATTGACAAATTAGTATGCATATTTTGCACAGTTACCAAATGATAATTTCTCTATTTGATTTACAAAACAAAAAGATTAATAAAATTTCCACAAAAATTTAAACAATAGGTTTGCTTTAAATATTATTGCTTAAATATTCTCATGAAATCTATACCATGGAAAGAAAGTAAAAATTACAAATTACACCCAAAAAAAAAATCATGGGCAGAAGTTGAAAACTTAAATGACAAACAGATCTCCGGTAATACAGTACAAAGTCCATAATCTGGACTCGTCGGGACTTCGGCGATTCCGGTTTAGGGGTTTTTCCAGATTACAGATCATCAATTTAAATCGGGTAAGATGGCATGCAGAAATTATACAATATGAAACCGTAATTTACGAAATAAAGAGCAATTATGATCTAAAGGATATCAAAATTTACAAAAAAAAAAAAAAAAAAAAAAAAAAAAAAACCCTTAATATTTATTTGTTTACTTTATTAAACATTTCTTTCAATGTAAGTTGTTTAATTTGCTTCGTTTTTTGTGCTAATACTTTCTCTTTAATTCTATAAACAGATATAATTTCTTGTTCAGTTACAAAGTTCCACTGTTCAAGTCCTGTAATTGCTGTGTCGAGAATACTGACTAACTTTTTTCAATAACGTTGTGTTACTTTCTTCACTATCAGAAGCAGTATTTTCTGGATTTAGAACCATACTACAGATTTCGCTGTCTGTTAATTGATTGACGATTGGGGCATTGTCGTCACAATGAAAAACTTTTGTTATATCATCTTCATTTATTACTGCTTCTCTACATTTCTTTAAAAAAATCCAATAACTGGAAAATTTCACCTTTAGTTTACGCTGTCCAAAAACTTTCAAATTCTTGGTTATCATCTTCATCGTCTTCACCATGAAATATGGTACCTGGCCATAAATTATGCCAAGCATTTTTTAACGTATCTGGAGACACATCCTCCCAACATGCATGCGTAAGCATACAAAAAAAAAAAAAAAAAGTCTGTGGCTTTGAGGTCCGGATAATGGACATCCGGATTACGGACTTTGTACTGTACAAAAGTGAATTGTTCATCGTTGGAAGGAAGTTGTAATAACAGCTATTAAAAATTAAATATTCTGACAGATTGTGAAAATGCCCCCAAATTCATAATAAGGTATCCTGTACACATTAATGACACCATAAGCATTCATTTTATAATCAATACTTTGAAAAATATGTCAATAATTATTTTGCTCTTACCAGAAAAGTCCACCTATTTTGACTACCCTTAACACTTTGCGGGCCGCTGTCACGCTGGCGTGACTTTTGCTTGGCAACAGTTATCGGCTGCTGTTATGTACGCATGACTTATTTTCACCAACGACACGTATTAGTGGTAATGAAAGAATTCAAAACCCGCGAAGGGCCTGTAAAGTCTGCACTGCCGAAAAGAAAAGAAGTTCCACTATATACATGTGTTCTTCCTGCAACGTTTCTCTGCATGTTGGAAAATGTTTTCAGAATTATCATACTGAAAAGAGCTAGGGATCCTAGGAGTTAAATTTTTTAAATAAAACGTTTTAGTACTATTAAAAATATAATTGGAATAAAATGGAATAAAAATAGTGTAGCAGTTATTTTAGTGCTTTCTTTAATAATAATTATATACCAACTACTTACGTTTAGAAAAATTGCGTAAATATCAACGTTGGCGAGCAGTAGAACCTGCGTGAACCGGCGGCAGCGTAACGGCGCTTCGATAAATGCGCGACCCGCAAAGTGTTAAAAATTACAAAATTTCATATCATTTGAGATTCCACTTTCAAGATGAATAAGCCAATAATATATTTATTTTATGTAACAAATCCCAAAATATGCATGTATAAAAGAAAGCATTACAAGAAAAACTAAAATATTGTTCAATTCAAAACATACCACTCTTCTTTCATCTAATTTATCAAACATACTGTTCAATTCTCTCTGGTAACGATCCTAAGAAAGAAATATATATGTATATAAGAAACTTCAAAATTTCTTTAAATGTTATAATTTCTTACTATCCTAAACAACAGTTTAATAAAGTTCAAAATTACAATTTAAAGATTACAAAAACAAAGATTTTTTTAACTTATTTTTACATACATTTATTTTTACCTCCTAATAAGAAATGCTAACTTCAAATAATATAAAAATCATTACACACACAACATTAATTACAAACTTAAATTTTGTAACATAAATTAAGCAATGCATGAAATTAAGTAATGACAACTTTATAAGACATATTAAAATTAAAATAAAAGAGAAAAATATTCTATTTTAGCAAATGTAGACTTAAAACAAGAATGTATGCATATGTATTCATATATAAATACTGCTCCTACTGTTCTAAACAATTTTCATCATGCAGAAAAGATTTCAGGAGAACAGATTAGTCAGTTATTAGTTCCAAAGGTTAGATGAGACCAAATTTTAAAATTTAGCTCGCAAATCCATTATTACAAATTGTTTAGAGATAAGAAAACAAAAGATAGGATTTGTTATTCATTTTATTGACCAAACATGTGACGAGATATAGAAGAATATTATAGAACTTGAGGAATGCTAATTACAAAGTAGAGAAAGAGGCAGCAATTGTATACACAGTTACAAGTCAGAGACCTGAATTTCTACTTGATGTGGTAAATACTGACATAATCAGTCTAACTGAACCTCCATCAGCACATAAACAAAAATACATACTGTGTTTATTCATCCAACAATTCTAGGTGGCCTGAGGTGAAAGTTTTCTCAAAGCATGCCTTTTCAAACAAGCTGTCTCTTGAGGTCCAGTGTAGTCGTGTCTGAGTGTTGTATTTTTGGGGTTTTTAGCATTTCACATTTCTTTAATTCTTCTGACTTTTGGTTAATTTTAAATACTTATAGTGAATTTTGAAATTTAATGGTACTACTGAATTTGACTTCTTTTGGGTCTTTGTGAAATTAGTTCTACATTTTTTACTCATTGTCTACATATATATATATATATATAGCTATATTATAGAATTTATCTTTTAGGAAGTAAACTTGGTGATGAGACAAAACTGCGTCTTGGAATGTGCTAAATTTTACAAGGTGCTGAAAGATTTAAATTTGTTGTGTAAAATAGCTTCATCACAGAACAATAGTAGTTATGGCAAAATACAGAGTGCCCCAATAAAATGTACATACTCTTTGACAATTCATAACAACCACCATTTTTTGTTCTTTTTTCAGGTGTGACTGCTTAATATAATGGCTGGAATCACATTAAACTTTGAAGAAAGAAAATTCATTCTGAAGTGCTACTGGAAGACAGAGAACATAAGTGAAGTGCCAAGATGCTTTAGAAAAGAGTTTCAACGCGATGCAGCAGCAAGACTCACAATTATTTGTTTGCAGTATAAGTTTGAGGAAGAAGAAACTGTTAAAAATATCCATAAGAGCCATTCCAGAAGACTACAATCATCCCCCAGCCCCACAAGTGAAAGAGAAGTCATTGAAAGTTTTCAGCAACTGCCAAGAAAATCTGTTCAGCAAACGGCTCGTGAGACAGAAGTTCCAAAATCGAAAGTCCATCGTATTTTGAAGCGTGCCCAATGGAGGAGTTTTATTCCTATATTAGTACACCCTCTCAATGAAGATGATTTTGACAGAAAACTTGAATTTTGTGAGTAGTACTAAGCAAAATGTACAGAGGACAATCAATTCCCTTACAAGATTATTTGGAGTGATGAGGCTACATTTAAGCTGAATGGTTCAATTAATTGTCACAATTTCACTTACTGGGCACCTAACAATCTTCATGTGAACTTACCAGGGGTTCCAGTGTAGTGTGGTTTGTCAGCATTTGGTTTAATTGGACCTTTCTTTTTTGATGCTACAGTGAACTCAAACTGTTACGAGAATCCGTTATACATGCATCCAAGAGATGTTTAGGAATGAAGAATGGTACTTCCAGCAGGATGGAGCACCTCCGCTCTATCATCATAAAGTATGGGGCTATCTCGATGGTCACCTGCCAAACAGATGGGTAGGGTTAAGAGGATGTACCGAGTACCCTCCATGCTCACCAGATTTGATCCCAATGGATTTTTTTTTCTGTGGGGGCACGTTAAACACAATGTTTAACCCGCAAGATCAGCCACAATGAATGAGTTAAGAGCAGCCATTGAAAGAGAATGTGCCAGAATACCAACTGAAATGATTACGAATGTTTCGGATTCAATCAGTGAGCTTTATCAGCTATGCATGGACCAAAATGGCCAACAATTTGAACACTTTTAATAATTGCTTGGTTTCTACACATTTGTACATTTCTGTTCACATTATTTTTATTTTGTGAACTCTTCTATATTATAATAATTATTAGTGCTATTGTCATTTAAAGAGTGTATACATTTTATTGGGACACTATACAATCCCCATCTTTAAACTTTTCTACAGATTCTCTTCTCACAAAAAAATAATAAATAATAAGAAACTCGATATTTTTATATTATGAAATATTTCTTACAGATTTTATTTATTATGATTAACCCTTATGCCATTTTACTATCATCGTGTCATTTTTCTGTCTTGCAAAAATAAATTGTAAAAATAACCCATATTATAATTAACACACGAATATTATTAATGTATCAGCATTTTCAACCAATTTAATCTAGAGACAATTTCATTTGGTTAAATAAATTACATCAGTATTCATAATAAAGAATACACTGCTCATAACAAAAGAATAAACATTATTAGGAATGAAGAAACTAAGTTATAGATGGCATTAAAAACAATTCATAAGAAAAACAGAACAGTGGTATTTAGAACATTTTTTGAAAGAATTCATCTGGAAATAATCTGCTATCTTCTTCTGTTATATCGTATATTTTTATTTTTATTTCTGTTATTTTTCATGGATACCTTTGTTTTACACTGTTTGTGGTAATAACTTTTCCATCATTCTGCAATAATCACACTTTTCTTTTTAATTTAGTTAATATGACACCATTATTACGGAGCTGAATATATTAATTATATTTTCAGAAATATTAGTTACTTTCAAGATAAAATCACTGTGGTTTCAATGCGTTTAATTTTTTTTAATCCTTTTTCATCTGCTTTGGTATATGTGTTTTCAGGATAATCATTTTTAAACAATAAAATAACATAAGGAATATTTTAAAAAAATAAAAACATAACTCCAAAAACTTTAAAAAAACTGCATATCAGCTAATTTTGGGGAATTCCAATAACATAAAATATGGTTACATAAAAACTATAACTGTTTTTTAAAAATGAATGACTTACATATTTATCAGTGAGTTTAGCTATTTCAGCTTGATTCCTTATTCCCAAATCTTGTAATTCTGCCATCTCCCTAAATAGAAGGAATATTTTATTTTATTTTTTATTATTATTCTCAAGCATTAATTTTCTACTTACAGTGCTCCTTCTCAAGTGGAAGGTGTTATAATAAAATGAAGGATTATCCACATGAAAAACTTCATATTTGCACTAAAGGAAGAAATTATACATTTAACATCTCCTTCAAAATTCATTTTTAAATATTTTAGACAATAAAATAAAATTACTAAAAACAATAAAGACAATACAAATAGCAACAATAATAATAGACAAATAAAAACAATAATAGACAAAATAGCGCACAATACAATAGATAGTACACAATAAGTAAATAGTATGTATGAATGTATATTATATACAGATATGCAAATAAAAATCATGTTTAGTGTGTTTTATAAAATTATTTTTAAAAAAGTTTCCAACATTTTTAGTTCTGCTTCAGTTCATAATCTTTCATAAAATTATGCTTTTGATTGAAGACTGCTACTCGTCATCGCAATGCACTTTTTGAATCATGACCTAAACGTCTGACAGTACTATAATTGTCATTCTTATTTGCAATTTTTTAATATCTGACATAAAGTTCCAGTTTTTCCTTAATTCTTAATTTGCCCCTCTGAACAATTATGAACTAGAGATGTTTTTACCCCGCCATAAAATTTTCTGCCACTTTGTGTGTGTATATATATATGTTATTTTAAAGTGTTTAAAAGTTTCCTTTTCTTTAACAACTGAGATATGATCCCCATGAATGGAGTTTTGAATACAGTAAAAAAGTAAGTAATTATACAATCTAATTAACGGCACTTTTATTCATGAACAGACAAAAAAAAAAAAAAAAAAAAAAAAAAATCACTGGCAGTTTTAACTACATTCTTTCATGTAGTTTTCCACTTATCAGACTTATTAATTACATTCTTTCATGTATTTTTCAACCAATCAGATATAAATACTAGAAAGGTCAACTTAAAAATATTTACTGGTTCCCACTACTCATAGAATTTCAAAAATTAAAATTCACAACTCAAAGATCTACAGCAACATTCGGAGAGGGGCAAAATTGAAAAATATGTAATAATTAATTCAAAAATACTTAAATTCTAACAGTCAATATGCTGTTTTAATTGGGTCCTTCACCAAGCTTTGTTTTTTTAACAGCAGCAATTCATAAATCAGCTTGCATACTTAGAAAAAAGCCTAAAGCATTAGTTCTCTACATTACTGTACAAATCTTCTACCCCTTACATTTTCTTGAATAAATACTAAATTAACATTTTTTATATGATCTGCAGCTGAAATGAAAACTGGTTAGTTCAATTAAATGTACAAAGTACTTTAAAGTAGAATAAAAACCAAGTTTCGGTTGAAAAACACACGTTAATTTTTTTAACCACGTAATGGAGTGCAAAATGCTTTCGTTTCTATGTGCACCAATTAACCACAGAATTCAGAAATTCATTATTTTTGCCTTCATATTTCTCAAATATGAATATGGCAGATAATACATTTTATAAATATTTCAATCTACAACAATACTTAAATCAACAATACTAAATATGCAATCTGCATACAGAGTTTTTTTATAAAAGTATTATTTATATGTTTTTCCCATTTTACAGGAGTACAATATTGCTATAAATGCTAAGCCAAAATAGCATAAAGGTGAAGAAGCAGTTATCTTTAATTTGCACATGAGAATGTTTAAAGTGTTCCTAATCTACCAAAGTACAGTACAAAGTCCGTAATCCAGACTCGGCGGGACTTCAGCGATTCCGGATTAGTGGTTTTTCCGGATTATGGATCATCAATTTAAATTTGGTAAAATGGCATGCAGAAATTACAAAATTAAAAATATGAAACCGTAATTTATGAAATAAAGAACAATTATGATCTAAAGGGTATCAAAGTTTACAAAAAAAAATCTTAATCTTAATATTTATTTGTTTACTTTATTAAACATTTCTTTCAATGTAAGTTGTTTAATTTGCTTCGTTTTTTGTGCTAATACTTTCTCTTTAATTCTATAAACAGATATAATTTCTTGTTCAGTTACAAAGTCCCACTGTTCAAGTACTGTAATTGCTGTGTCGAGAATACCGACTAACTTGTCAATTGAAATTTTATCATTTTCAATAACCTCTCTGTCACTTTCTTCACTATCAGAAGCGGCATTTTTTGGATCTAGAACCATACTACTGATTTCGCCGTCCGTTAATTGATTGATGATTGGGGCATTGTCGTCGCAATGAAAAACTTCTGTTATATCATCTTCATTTACTACTGCTTCTCCACATTTCTTTACAAAATCCAATAACTGGAAAATTTCACCTTTAGTTTGCGATGTCCGAAAACCTTCAAATTCGCGGCTATCATCTTCATCATCCTAACCATGAAATATGGTAGCTGGCCATAAATTATATCAGGCATTTTTTAACGTATCTTGAGATACATCCTCCCAACGCGCATGCATAAAACATACAAAAAAAAAAAAGTTTGTGCCTTTGAGGTCCGGATTATAGATCATTCTGGATAATGGACGTCCAGAGTATGAACTTTGTGCTGTATATATATAAGTAAGATAAAAAATATGTGAATCAAAATTATAATTTAAACTAACTCGTTAATTCTATGAACTGAGATGGAGAATTAAGGAGGTAAACTCCTTAATTCTCCATCTCAGTTCTAAAAATCGTAATAACTTCTCTGGATTGCGTCATTTCTAGATCATTCGATTTTGCTTGGCCTGTGCAACACTGATGATATAATAATTGGGAACTGAAACTTTAAACTCAAATTAAAACCTTTCTCTTTGTGTCCTTCCATCTTTCATAACTACGCACTTCAGCTTTGCCTCTGTGCTAGTTAGACATTGCTTCATTCTGCTCTGTACCTATTGCAACAATATCAAAAATGTTAATGTTCTTGAATAGGCACAACTATAGTGTCAAGTAAACTGTGGCTACAAATGTCAACTGAAAAATAAAAATGGAATTACCCCCCCCCCCGGTGCAAAAAAAAAAAAAAAAAAAAAAAAAAAAAAAAAAAAAAAAAAAAAATGAATTTCTTCTGTGTCTTCAATTTGGCTGCCTTCCACTTTGCAGTGACCACACTTGGACTCTGACGTAACCAGATTGCTCAGCTTCATCATTTCCAATGCCTATCTACTGCAGATATCACATATATATATATGACATAATAATAAACAGCAAGGAAAAGACAGAGCGGTGCCGAGGCGTGCATAGATCCATATTGAAAGATGAAGCATTCCAATTGCATAGTATGCTAATATGTTGACTTAGTAATATCTAAAGAACTTGGCAGTTGAGGCAGTTTTAATTCCATTTTTATTTGCAACTGATATTTGTGGCCACAGTTCGCTTGTCACTCTAGCTGTGCCTATCATAGAACATTTACATTTTTCTATTTACGATAGCATGCAAGACAGCGAAATTACACCCTAGCGGGGCAGAGAGCGAAGCCGAAGTGTGTAGTTATGCAAGATTGAAGCACACGAAGAGAAAAGTTTTGATTTGCATTGAAAAGTTTCAGTTTACAATTATTACGTCATCAGCGTTGTGCAGGCCGTGCAAAATGGAAGCATCTAGAAATGATGCAATCGAGAGAAGTTATTATGATTTTTAGGAATGATTTGGAACTTGGTGATGGCATAATAAATGCGTAGCAAAGAAACTTGGCAAGGCAGACATGGCCGGATTCAAGATAACTTTATTACTGGGAAAAGCAATTCAGGATTCGCAATATTTGGTTCACATACAGACGAGCATCTAATGCACCCTACACTTTTGTTAGCTCAGCACATATTCCTTGAACAAAGAAGGTAGCCGCAAAGCATCTGGCCAGGAGGAAAGCTTAAGCGAAGGTGACGCAGTAATTCAGAGGAAGAAGGGAGGGAGTCAAAAAGTTTCAGTTCGAGTTAAAAAGTTTTGGTTTACAATTTGGTGATTTGTCAAGAGGCATCTGCATTAAATGTTATGTAGGATCGCATGATTAATTTGAATGACGCAGTTTAGACTTCTAGCGTTATTTTTAAAACAGAAAGAGGAAGTCCCCAAATTAAATAAGAAAAGAGGTTATAGCCAATTAAAATTAGAAGTTTGCTTTATTATTTTTTATCTTACACACACACACATATATATATATATAAATCATACCAAATAACTCTTTAAAAAAAACTTAAAATAATAGATAGCCTCTGGCCAGGCTTCCGATCTAAGGTAAATTACCGATACATAATCAAGTACTTAATATCAATGCTATTGAATGAACTGTTGTCTTCAATATTAGAAGACAATGTTTTGTTCAAAAGACCAAAATTATTTAATTCCAAATTCAATAGTTCAATAAAAATTAATGACGTGCACTCCACTATTAAATAATGCAGAATTCATATGTATGTACGTCTGCATGTTCCTCGTATTGTGAGAAAATAACAGTACTTAACACACTAAATTTTTTATTTATTTTTTATTTATTTCATATTTTATGCAAATTTAGGGAACTTTAGTGTGCAAGTTAAAATATTTTTCATCTTCCACGTGACAGTGTGTTGTCATTCAATAAAGTAGAAGATAGAATTTAATTTTATTTTCTTATTAATAATAAATTGACTTAAAATCAATAAATACAGATTCACTTCCATTATTATTAATTACTAGGTAGACTTGTGAAATTGCATTAGTTGTATTCATTAAAATTATTATATATATATAATTGGTGAATTTAATTCTTATCTTTTTCACTCTTGTTTGTTGTTACTTTACAAGCCCTCTTTCTGCCATTTCTGTAAAACAGCTTCTAGCAGAAAGAAGTTTTGAATTGAGGTATGTTTTTCATTTCAAATTTCGTAGTTATAAATGTTGGTCATAAACTGGCCCAATATTAATCTTTTATTCTCTTTCTAAAACATTATTGTTTTTTTTTTTTTTTTTTTTTTTTTTTAAATTATAACTTTTCAGACTAAGAAGGTTCACCCATAAAGTTAATGAATATATTGACTAATAGCTATTTCGCTATTTATTTTAATGCTGTAAATTTGCCTTACCAGGCTTCTTATATAGTTTTTCCTGCACAAATTAAGTACTTCTCTTATACTTGTTAAAAGCAGACGCGTCGGGAAATGCAACAGGAAATTGACATTTGCATACAATTAATATTTGACATTTTTAATAAAATATTTGTTGGCTTTCAGTCTCAATGTCCTATTTGGCAAAACGCATTCTGGAATTTAACAGAGTTCGAATCACACCATGCATTTCCATTGAAAAGTCCATGATGATATTCGAATTAGGCTAATTATTCCACTTACCGCTGCTTGTAGTACTTATTGTTTTTTAATATGATGTTTTTGTAGTTTTTTTCTAATATGTTTTGAGATAGCTTACACTTTATTCTACATACATATTAACTTTTAAATTTGAATCAAGTTAAGCTTTCATCTTTTGCTATTTTTCTTAATTAGTATTTCATACATATTATGTTTTTACATATGGCATTACAATTGGATCTTTACTTTGTGTTTATACTTTTTTGCAATGGAACCGAAGTATCATTTCAGCTAATAGGCTATAGCTTGAAGAATTTACTTTTTAATTTTATTTCAAATTTTGAAGTTCAATGCACAAAATTCTTGACCTCACATGTCCTTTTAAGTTTAGTTAGTATGCCTTTCTTACATTATATATATATATATATATTTCTTCCAAAACTTATCAAACACATTCAAAGCTCTAAAAGTGATTACTGGTGATGCCTCAAATCACAAGAGATTTGTGAGTGAGAGATGAAGAACCTGCGATATAAAAAGAGAGAGGAAGATCTTCATCTAGCCATACCATTTCATCATTTTTTTTTTCTAACTATCTAAATTTCTATACCTGCATGACCCAATATTGAAATTGAAATAAGTGAAATTTTGCTACCCTCTGGATGATATCAAAGGCTAGAAAGAATACTATTATGCTGAAATATTAACACAGATTTGTTTCTTTAATTGTACTGTTTATCTTGCAGGTAACGAAAACATTTTGTAAATACTACTTTTACTCATATAACTAAGTAGCAGCTTTCTGTAATCACACATGCAAGCATACAGATCAGTGTTCATAAATTCAGAATTTGATTATTTCAACAGTAATACAGACAACATTTATTTCATGTATGCCTTATCTAAATATAGTTTGCCTTACCCAGTTTTTGAAGACCCTAACATGCATACATATAATATTTAAAAAATCGTATTTTTGTACTACAACAAATCAAAAATAGAGGCTGCAGTTATTTACCTTTCTTTGTCTTCAAGGATCAATTTATTTAGGTAGGACTGTAATTCAATTTCTTGACCAATTCTTTTATCTTCTTGAACAGTCCATCGTTTCTTTTTAGCTATCCTTAATTCACTAGCAATATCATCACCAAAATTTAATTTTTGATCTTTTGCTAAATCACTAGCTGTCAAAAGAGGTGACCACAAAATATAAAAATATACACAGAACATTCATAATGATGTAGTGATACATCGAATATAACTTACTCCTTTTTTATAATAACTGAGAAATAGTTTGCACATAATATATTACAGACTACTTATAATTACTGTCAGACATGAGAATGTCTAATGATTGTCTATGATAAACAGTACATAATTTTAAAACACCTTATTTTTACATAAATACGTCTTTAAAAGAAAAACATTTTTAAAAAAATCTAGTAAGGATTGAATTAGTAAAAAACATTATAGCTTAAGAATCTAATTTTAATTATGCTAGACATTCTTAATATCTTTAACTTTTATCGTACTTCCTCTTGTATTTTTCTCCCCGGCTTTTCACCACCAGCTTCTGAACATTTAAAAAATATTCCTGTAGTTTTCCCCTTCCTCAATGCATTTAGAGAGTAAGCTCTTCTAAATTTTAAAATGGATTCATAAACATAGTGATTGTTTTCATCTTTCAACAAAGATACTCTCATTAACTACCTGAGACATCACACTGAATCTTTCTGCTTTAACTGTTTAACTTTATGTCAGTCTCATACAAACAAACAACTGTAATGAAACAAACATGATCTGACATTGTCTTAGATTTCACTGAGTCAGCTGCACATTCACCATCTATAATTACACTGGGAAACACCAATTCCATTGTCTTACATATTCGTCACTAGTTTTCAACTAACTTTCAACCTCTGAATCCAAAAACAACCTTAGATTTGTCTATCACATCAACTTTTTAAGCTACAGGATACCTTCTCTTCATGTCAAAGTCATAAAAAATATGCATGTAAAAGAAAAAGGGAAAACTTGCCAAATATACTGTTCACAAAGAAAAGTTTTATTCATACAAAGACTATACACAGTTACTGCAAACTAAATTTGTTCATGCAAATAGTAAAGTTTTTTTCACCAAATAGTAAACATGTATATTAAGGTAAAAATTTTCGTTTATGGCTTTTCCAGGAATGTCTAATCTGTGGACATTCTTGCTTTATGCTCCAACAATAAATAGTTAGCCATCATATGTACACCCCATCTCAGTACTGTGCTTCCATAACCTTCAAATGTTAGTGGAATTGCTCACCCTGCTCATCACTGACTGTACCAAGATTTTTCAGGAACTTATCAAGATGGTTATGTAAAAAATGCAATTTGATGCTCATGTTGCAACTAAGCATTCTGAAACTGTTCAAAAGTTGTTGGATAATTTCATTGTAATTCTGCACTTGTGTAAAAGCAAAAGCACCAAGAAAGTCTTTGACAATGCTTTTGAATGCCAACCAAACATTCTTTTCAAGTTCTGTCACTGTTCTGATGAAATGCTCATATTTAAGAAGCTGCAGAATCTGTGGACTATCAAACACATAAGACTTTATCTTTTCAAATGACAGGCTAGGAAATGCTGAAATAAGATGCTTGAAACAGTCTCCTTCAATTGGCAAAGATTTAATAAATTGCTTCATGAGATCTAGTTTTATATGAAGAGATGGATATATAATATTCTTTCTCTCAACAAGTGGCTGATGTAAAACATTTGGATGACCAGGTTTCAGGTGAGATCTTGGTAGCCAATTCAACTGCAACCAATGCTTCTTATGAACTCTGCAGTCCCACATGCATAAAAAACAGGGATATTTGGTATATATCCATGTTGCTGGCCAAGGAGGAAGCAGACTATTTTAAGGCATCTGTGTCCATCTGTGCATGTGATATTGAAATAAATCAATGACTCTCTTTATGTCTTCATACTCTTCACACAAACTGAACACCCTACTGAGACTGCATCAAATAAAATTCCAATGTGAAGGAAGACGCATTCCAATCTCCATTTTGAGCTATGGATGAACAATCATCATTGAGTTTCATTATACGTTGAAATTCCCAACTCTTCCATTAAACCATGTAAGTTATGGCTGTACACAAATCCATCATCACTTCGAAAGTATTACAGAAATGCACTTTCTCTTAATCGAAAATACGATAACTCTTTTTCAAGCAAGATTTTCTCATACAGTTTTGATGCTAGCAAGTCTGAAGCTTTTTTAGATAGTCCCAAATCATTTAATTCATGTTGGTTAAATCCCTTACAAGCAGAATAATTTTCAATTTTAAAATCTTCGTTGGGGTCAATCTGATATTCACCAGTATTATATTCCTGTATTTTCAAAAAAGGGTAATTCTTTGAAAACTAGCATTGGGTGTATAGCTTATGGGAAACTACGATACTCTATTTTACATTTATTTTTCTTGTTGCTTTCATTAACAAAAGTAACAATCACCTGAGAGATCTCTGGGAACAGATCTGGATTCCTATGCAGTTTTAATCCTTATGATGTGCCCTATCTCCTCTGGAAGTTTGTCGCAACATTTATGGGACACCTTGTATAGTACAGTCAAAAGTCTTTAATCCAGACTCGTCGGGACTTCAGCGATTCCGGATTATCGGTTTTTCCGGATAATAGATCATCAGTTTAAATCTGGTATGATGGCATGCAGAAATTATAAAATTAAAATTAGGAAACCGTAATTTATGAAATAAAGAACAATTATGATCTGAAAGGTATCAAAATTTACAAAAAAAAAAAAAAAAAAAAAAAAAAAAAAGCTTCATATTTATTTGTTTACTTTATTAAACATTTCTTTCAACGCGCGCATGCTTAAAGCATACATTATGCATAGTCGAAATTAGAAAATTGCAACCAGAAAACTATTTGATGTGTATTTGTGATATTTATAATGACGAACAATTTGATTTAAATCATATCAAAGACGGAGTACATCGAGATGAAATACTACATTTAGTAAGGAATTATAAGCCGAATAAAATAAAAACATCTGCTCTGAAGATAAGGATAGTGCTGAAAAATCAACTTCCAGTTCATTGCGCGCCGTGTCCCCCCCCCCCCCGGCTGCAGAGCAGCGTGAAATTGATAAACATATTTCGGAATGGTTAGAGAATCACAGGATATGCCTTTATCCAATTTTTGCAGCAATTCCATTTTTTGTTTGATGGACATCGAAACATGCTTACGCTTTGTAGATTCTTTGGTAGCTCCAGAATCGGAAATTCGTCTTTGTTGGCTTTAGTTTTCCACATGCAAATTTTGATCGGAGGTCGATCGGCGGTAAGCTAATGTGGTTGCCGCTGATTGGCCGATGACGTCAAGATCGGCAGGTTGGCCGAGTATAATATATATGTACGCCGGTATCGGCAAATGCTTTGTTCTCTTGTGTGATTATCAGTTAGCATTATGCTAGTTTGCTTTCAATCAAATGATTTTAAATGTAAAGGCTACAGTGTTAGCTCTTTTATTTTATTTATGGAATAAAGCATGAATTTTATTTAGTTTAGTCTTAGCTTTATTTAAGGAAAGCAAAATATGCTTTGCCTTGATCACCACTACCAACAGGGTTATGGGCCCAGCGCCAACAGCTAATCAGTCATCCAGTTCAACTCAGCATTGAAGGAATGTAGGTGAAGAGGGCCATTATCCACGAAAAGAAGCTGACCTGTCTTAGAAGTTTGTTCAAGTCGTTGTGCTCACACTTAATTGAAGATGTCATTACTACCTGAAGGTTTTGAGTTGTTAAACCATGACAACTGGGATCGATGGAAAATCGACATGAAAATGCTGTTACTGGCTAGAAATTGTTGGAGCTTTATAGAGGACAAAGAAGAAGAATTAGATAAAAGTGCAACAAGGCGTGAAAAGCAGGAGTTCACACTGAGAGAGAACAGAGCCTTCACTACATTATATTACAGAATTAAAGCTGAGTTCAGGCCGCTGATACAAGAATGTCCAAGTGGTAAAGAAGCATGGGAAGTTCTACAGAAGCAATTCGAACTCAAAACAAGAGCAAGGATAATTCAGTTACTGGATGAATTTTTTAGTATTAGATATATGCCAAGTGAAGAAATAGGATTATTTATCGCGAGGATAAGAATGACTGCAAAGAAGTTGGCTGAAGCTGGTCACAACTTGGCAGATCTTTTTAAAGGATTCCAGGCAATAAGGAGATTACCCCAGGAATACTCCGGCATTGTACAGTTGATATATAGGTGGAAGGACGAAGATTTTACACTGGAAAGAATTGCTGAAGAATTGGTAAGGAAAGAAAGCCAACTTCCCCAGGTAATTGCCAATTTAGAAAACAGCAAGGTAAGCGTGTTTAATACTATTAGTTTAAATGCAGGGAAAGATAAAGTTGAAAATGAAACTAAATCTAAGAAAAAAATGGGGAATATGAGAATAGGACCTTGTTTCAGATGTCATAAATTTGGGCACTTAATTGCTCAATGTAAAGAAAATGTAAGTAAAAATCAGAAGTTTAAAATAGACGATAAAAATGGACAGTTTAAAGATAAAGAATTAATGTTAGTAGAAAATTATGTAACAACTACAGATAAAGGAGGTAACGCAGATAAATTTAATTGGGTCGTAGATACTGCAGCTACAACTCATTTCTGTAATAATAGAAATTTAATGACAAATTTCGAAGAAATAAACGATATACGTATGTCTTTAGCTGTAGGAAATTGTGAAAGTAAAGTACTAGGAAAGCGTACTGTCAAATTTGCAGTAAAAGTAGGCAATCAAATAAATTGGATTGAGTTAGATAATGTGTTATATAATCCAAATCTAAGAAGAAATTTATTATCAGGAGCAAGGTTAGAAAAGGCTGGTGCTCATTTTGTTATTTCAAAAAGGAAGATGTGGATATACTTTAATAATTGGGATAGATTATGCTACGCTAAACGATATGACGGACTTTATCATGTAAAACCATTTATATATGCAACAGGTAAAAGGGAAGCTGGTTACGGTACAGAAATTGGAAAGTTAAATAAAGTAGATGATGCAATGCTATGGCATCGGAGATTTAGCCACGTAAATTTTGATTATATTAAGAAAACTAGTAAGAATCAAAGCGTGAAAGGGTTACCAGAAATTGAAAA